GCAGCCTGGTCTACATAGGGAGTTCCAGGCCAGCTGGGGCTACAGGGAGACCCTGAAATAAATAAATAAATAAATAAATAAATAAATAAAAAGTGATTTCCTAGAGGTTTCTTTCCCAGCACTGTACTTCTCCCCAAGGGTCTGTCAAAGTCATCATAGCAGACAGCCTGTCTCAGGGCAGGTACTCAGGCAGTGTTGAATGAGTTAATGAGGTATGTTTGTATCCTTCCCATTTCACACATTAGAGGCACAGATTCAGCACTGTGACCTGATCACGTGGGAAAGGCCACCTGAACATAGTTGGGGTTAGACTAGGGTCAGAGGTGGAGCTGGTTGGGGATTATACAGACTAGCCTAGCACCCTTCCACTGACCTCTGAACTTTGCCCATTTCACAGATTGAGAGGTCACTCTGAAGAGTGAGAGGTCACTCAAAATCAACAGTAACCTTTGAGGGTGCCTCCCTTTACTCTGGAAAGCTGGGGTCTGCCCCACCTTCACCCACCTGGGACCCCAGAAGGGGACTGGGAGGCATGGGCTCTGGGGCTGACCTTGCCACTAATCCATGCATAAGCCTCTCAAAGTCTCTGGGCCTGTACCCCCATCGGGACATGCACACAAAGCCTCCAGGGTCTTACTTCTCCAGAACTTGAGGCTGCTGGAGCTGAGGCTAAGTTTATAAACTCCTGGGTCCAAAAGGCCTGGTAGAGGCTGGTTTCTGTATTGATTGCTGAATGGTCTTGCTCAGCCCCTTCACCCCGTGAGTCTTCATTTCGTAGTCGGTAAAAAAGAGAATATCAGCATTTTTTAATATTAAATGAGCTGGGAAGGGGGTGATTCCTTGCTCAAAGCAGGGCACAGCACCATCATTGAATGGGACTGAATGGTTACAGCATTAGTTAGGGGATGCTGCCCTCCTGTGGCCAAGTGGAGGAACAGCAGGCTATCTCCCTGGGTCCCGCTGGAAAAGCGGTCCAGGCGCGTGTCCAGATGGGAAGAACGAGGCCGGGCACCGGTCACTCGGTGTGCGCCTCCACCCACTGGCAGAGGCGACTGGCGTAGCGAGCCGGGCTGACCGTGGAGAAGGTCCGGCCTGGGTAGCGCAGCATCTTCCACAGTTGCTCTAGCCGTTTGCGAAGCCCATAGACGGTGGTTAGATCCACCAGGCCCAGAAAATAGCGTTGCTCTGGCCCATCCAGGATATGGAACGCGTTGGGGACGTCGGACAGCAGTCGGCGGTTCTGGCCCTCGGCACCCCCCGAGTTCGGGGCACCCTGCATGGACCTAGGTGGTGTGGGAATAGGATGATGGTTCGTCTGTCCTCTCCTCCAGGAGGCTGTGTGCCTTGGCCTGGGATGTCGGCTACCCTGGGAGGCTGAGGAGCCCGTATGGTTTAGATCCGCACTGTCCCCTTTACAGGCACTGGCCACACGTGGCTGCTAAACCTTTGAAATTTAATCAGTGCTGAAGGAAATCTGAATCAAACATAAGCTGAATTTCAAAGGCGATACTGAAAACAGTGCAAACCATCTCGTCCACTTGCATTCTAAATTAGACAAAAGGCTCAGAATCCCCTATGTATTAAGTATTAATTTTAAATGATTTTTAACTTTTTGACTTTTTTTTTTTTTTTGGTTTTTTTGAAGCAGGGTCTCCCTGTAGTCCCAGCTGTCCTGGAACGCACTATGTAGACCAGGCTGGCCTTGAACTCACAGAGATCTGCCTGCCTCTGCCTCCCCAGTGCTGGCACTACAGGCATGCGCCACCACACCCGGCCTTTTTGACTTATTTATTTTTATTTTTATATGGATGAGTGATTCTCCTGCATGTAAGTGCACCTGTGTTATGCAATGCCCATGCAGACAGAAGAGGACATTAGATCCCCCAGAACTGGAGTTACAGATAGTTGTTAACCTCCATATGGGTGTTGGGAATTGAACTGGGGTCCTCTGCAAGAGCAGCCAATGCTCTTAACTGAACCATCCCTCCAGCACTGAGTAGATTTCTTTTTAAGATAATTTTTTTGAGGGCTGAAGAGATGGTTCAGCAGTTAAGAACAGTGGTTGTACTTATAGAAGACCTGGGTTTGAATCCTAGCACCCACATGGTGTAACTCCAGTTCCAGGGGATCCAACAGCCTCTTCTGTCTTCCTCGGGCATTGCATGACTCGGGTGCATTTACCTACATGCAGGCAATACACATATACACATAAAATAAAAAATAATAAATATTTTTTAAAAAATTTTTTAAATGGTAAACTTAACTGGGGTAGGGAAGGGCCCAAGCACATGGAATATAGTAAAAAAAAAGACAAACCTCAGACCATATTTTGAAGTGTGACCTTGCCTCAAAGAGACAAGAAAATTCAAGTACAAAGACCTTCAATGTCACCAACAACACTCACGTCATTATTTAACAGAAGAGATGTGACCAGCACCCAATGGTAAGTCATAGTGGCATAAAGTCTGATTTTGTGGAATCTACTATCCCACTTAGAATCAGGGTCCTGGAGAGTAAGGCCTTCTTTACTTGAAGCACTAAATCAAATTTGTGTGTCTGTGTGGGTGTGTGTGCACGTGCCAGAGGATAACCTTGAGCGCTATTCAGGTGTCGTTCATTCTTTCTTTGAGGCAGGGTCTCTCATTGGCTTGGAACTCTTTTTAAATAGGCTACACTGGCTGAACATCAAACTCCAGGGTCCAACTGTCTCTGCCTCCTAGTGCTGGGATTATAAATGCATGCCATCTTGCACAGCTTAAAAAAATAGGGCTCTGGGAAACTGAATTCAAATCTTTGTGCTTGCAAGGTAAGCACTTTACTGACTCTACTGAGCTATTTTCTTATCTCCCTGATGTATTAAATCAAATTTCTTGCAAAGACCAACACTGGCAGAGACCCGACAGTCCAAGATTATTCATTATAAAAGATCTCAATCACAGTAGTAAAGCATAGTTCCTTTAAGGTGGACATGGCTTCTTTGCATGTCTGTTATAGCATATTCAGAGCATGTCCTGGGCAAAGCAGAGGCACCTGAATACTAACCAGCTGGCTGGGCAACTTCAGACT